CCCCCCCTCCCTTGTTCTCCGCTCCGACGAGTTGACTGGAGATGCCCATTGCCATTCGCTGACGAGCTCACAGGGCGGGACATGGCAAACGGTTGAGCTGCACGCGGCTTGGGGAGGGAGGGCGGCACGCTGACACTGACGGCTTCTCGGGGACACATCGAACGACCGACCAGGCCGATCCGTCCAGCCTGTGGCCAAACAGTTCCACAACCCTCCCCGAGTGCTCTACCACCCCTCCGTACGAGAAGTCCCGCCGCTGGCCTCGTTACCTGAACCTGTGGTGCTTGGCCAACCACCCCAACCCACGACGGAACCCCCCGTCCAGAGTCGGTCCTGTGATGGCGCTGTCTGCAGAAATATGGCTGCCGGCATGCTTCCCTACCGCGCTCTCCGCATACATGCCCACTGCAACGACCACGCACTGCAGGCAGCCGGCCGTGCGTTCGTCCTGCGGCGCATGACGATACCATCAACACCCACCCTCCGCCCTCGATCAGAGAGGGAAAAAACTGCACGAGGTGGTACACACGGGCGCCCAGAACAGGGCGAGAGGGTGGGGGGGATGTCTATGCCAAGAGCAACCGGCTTCCAGCCACGACCGTCTCTTTGATTGGGACGGGAGCCAGCCGGATATTAGGCACGGCAGTTTCGTGGGCTGATTCCTGCAGCGGGACGAGTCCAAAGGCTTAGCTGAGGCCAGGGGAACCCCTGGTGGGCCGTGGAGGGAGGGCGAGGAGCGCTGGCCACGGCGTCTGGATGGTGTCGTGGCGGGCGGACCGAGCCGTTATGCGTCTGTTTCACGCGCGGGCGAGGGCTGGGCCAGAGGGAGCGGTGGGAGGTTTTGGGGCGGCTGAGGCATACGCGGGATGTCTTGCCCAAGGGTCTGCATGGGGAAGGCTGCTGCGTGTGCATGTGATGATGGCGTCTGGACGGGGATGATGTGACAACAGTGTTTTGATACGAAATCTTGGACTGGTTACATTTCCGGAAATCGTTCCCTATCGACGTGCTGTGGTATATGCTCGTTCTGCGTGATTGTCTTTTACATGGTCGGCATTGTCTGAGAGGCTCCGTATCGAGTTCTTCCACTCGTACCGTTGCTCTTCCCAGTAAATCTCTTTCTTTTCATCGCCGTCGCCCTCCTTACTTCGCCGACGCTCCGCGACGCTGGTCCGTCGTGATTCCAGTCCCACCACACCACCTACAGACCACCGTCTTTTCTCGGTCATGGCCCAGGCAAGGCAGAAAGTGAAACAGCAGGGATTCTTCCTCGTGCGAGTCCAGGCCTTAATTTCCGCAGACCTGTCGTTTTTTCTTTCACTTGGCTCCGAGCCCATCGAAGGTCTTGCCAACGATGCTCCTCTCGTCGACCCAATTCCTCACCGATTCCCAGTTCCGACAGCTGTGCTTTTGGCGGCCAGCTACCAGCACTCCTTTTCCGTCCACTTGGGTACCGTCCTTTACCATTGGCACGAGGGTGAGGTCTGCAGAACACTGAATGGTCTGACGAAGGTGCTCAAGGCAGTATTCTAATGAATTGTCAGTACGCTCTCACTTCCAAACTGGTAGTGACACTGGTAGTGTCCGAGCCTTCAACGCGGAATACATACCCAGATGCGCAGAACTCCGACTTTGCGGCAACGCCAGCTCCTCTTGGATGGCATCTTCCTTCATCCTGTACTGGTTGGAATTCAACTCCGTCCGAATAACATTAAAACACTTGAGGCTGTGGAAGACGGAGAGTTCGCCATAGTAACGATTTGTTGATGTGTCCTTGGATAGACCGTCTCTCAAAAAAGGCATAGCCTCGCGTTCGATGAGGGCAAAGATCGTGTCCCGATCAAACTTGATCCATTCTTTATCCGTCCCTGGAGTCACTGCTGCGCCCCCAGAAAAAGGGGTAGGCTTGTCGGACACACGATGGATGCTGTTGTGTTCCGTAAGACCAGCAAATTCCCGCGCCTCGTACTTGATGGCTGATATCGCGCTTGGGAAATCCGAGGAGGCATATCCGGATGGCGTCCTGCTCGGCCTAGCATTCGAGATCGGACACTGAGCGTCGAGATATAGGAAAAGACAAAGGCCGGCAAACAGGATGTTGGAGACGGACAGAGAGAAAACAAGGACGTGAAGCCCGTGGGATGGTTGAGATGGCCTCGCGTCCTGACCTTCAACCTCCCACACATGCACCCTGGCGCACTTCTCGGCCTTCTCTTCAGCAACAGGCGGTGCTTGTGCGACGTCCAGACATCTCCGCATCGTCATCCTTGCTTGCCAGTACAATAACCAAAGATCAAATGAGAGACGACTGATGGGCGACGACTGAGCGGCGGACAGCCAGAATAAATCTATGCCAGCCAGCACGCCGAAGACGTCCATGCCCGTATCATACCTTGACCGTGCTACGGTACATGGCCCGCGTCGGAATGCCTGAAAGTCGACCAACGGGCGCAGCTGGAGTCAGCTCGAGCCGGCGGACCAGCCGGCTGCGCCACGGCTGAACCAAAAGTTTATCTCTAACGTATGGCGGCTGCATCGAGGCCCTGCACCGGGCACCTGGAGACGATTTGAGCTGCCGCTAGCTGGAAACGCGTCGCGGGGGGAACGAAAGCACGACAAGTCGCCCGCGCGCTCCAGCGTGGCTGGCTGTCGTCCCAGAGTCGTGCTCGACGAAAACAGCAGCCGACTGGCTGCAAACCGATGGGAAGAAGATATGGAGCCATGGAACAAACAGCATTCGCGCGTCTGAGAGACGGTGGCTTGCGTTGTTGTCGTTGCTTCCTCAGTTTGCTTGCAGAGCGACCCTCGAATTCGTCTTGTGCGGTACTGTAAGTTACGTTTGTATTCAGGGGTAATGACTTAACGTTAGCCGGTCACTGAGCTCGTAGTTATCATCAGAGTCGGATTGCTATCTCGCACCGAGTCGACACATTACTCCACGATTCGTCCCCAGCTTTATCAGGTCGAGGCGTCGTTGGAGAGGGCACGTGGAAGGGTCCAGGATGCCGCTCGGTTCATGTCTGGAAGACTAAATTAACGTAAACGTTACTGAAAGAAACGCGAGAAGGCCCTTGGGTCGTGAGTATTACTATCGCAAACGGCTTGCCCATCGAACCGTTGCGCGCTCGATGCTTAGCAACGGCTTTCCCAACAATATGCCTCCCCGCCGGTCATCCTCGTACCTGTAACTATTCTAGAGGTACATGGTGCCGCGTGTCATTAGACTACCAGAATACCTAGAGCGGTCGGTGTCACTAGATCGATCCATCCATCGACGGCAACTGTCTACACGGTAGTAGGTGATCTGGCAGCGGAGGACCAAAAAAAACGTTGTCCTAGAACGAGACGGAGGTTGCAATTCCGATGCTCGAATCAGAAGATTGCTGGTTCGGTTTTGGTTCGGGTAGTCAGACCAACAAGTCGGGCCGGAGATGGCGCACCCGCTGCGACATTCTTGGCCAGAGTGGGGGGAAAAAGGTGGAGAGCTGGAACTTCAGCGCCTGAGGCTCGAGAGATGTCAAAGAAAAGGCCAAAAAGAAAGTGTTCCGATACCGGGAGTCGAACCCGGCTCTGCCCGGTGAAAGCGGGCGATGCTAGCCGATACACCATATCGGACTTTTCGAATGTATCAGGTGAGCTGATGAAAAATCTACAATAAATTAACAATATAATGTATTTAAAAATGATACGTAGACTTCATGTGTGCGCATGCTCGCCTATCGACCCCTGCCTGGTCCACAATCTCCTTGGACTTGCAACGTTCCCTCCAACTAAACTTACCTTCCAGTACAACCGAGGCTCGTCCAATCTCATCGTGGCCAGACTTCGAAACAAGCCAGAACTGTCTCCAGCAGGCTTGAAGCAAGATTTGAATCCAGCCCCAGGTTATCGAAGTAAGCCTAGACAGCATCTATTGAGAGGTTGAGCCAAAACTGCCTTCTATTAGGATGTCGAAGTAAGCCTACACAGCCGATAGCTATGATGTCGGAACGTCCCACACCACGACCAAATTGCCCCGGCCTCAAACCATTACGTAGAAAACATGTCGGCGACAGCGCATAGCGGTGCATTCTGGAAGGCAATGTAATGAAAGAGGAACAAGAGCAGCGAAAGATGTCTACCTTTCAGGACTCCTTAGCGCTTTAAGTAGGGCAGCTCATTTTGCCGACCGACTGTTTTTGAGTTTACTTCACTCGGAGTGGGTCTTCCTTCGGTCGTTACCAACCCCGATGCATATATAACGACAAACTGTTGTAGGACAAAGACGCCTGCAGCATCGGATTGCCTGGGCAAAATGACTCGGAATTATCAGTGAGTGGTAAATGTTTTCATTGGCAAGTCCATCAAAAAATCCTCCTCTATCCCATCTTTCAGAAATCAATTCACTCTGCTCTCTTCTCTCTCAAAAACTCGCCCGCCTGCTGCGCGGCCTCTGCGAACTCCTTCTCAAAACCAACAACGTGCCCCATAAGAGCAATGTCGTGCGGTGCATGCTCGACAACAATATACTTTGTCACATTTCCCTTCACTTTGCTCATGGCCTCGATATACTCGATGCAATCATGATAAAGCACCTCTCTGCCGCTCGTCTGCATCCAGATTGGTGTCTCGGTCAGGAAAGGGGTCTCGCCGCCTGAGATATACGGTTCATTGGGGTCGCAATGCGAGCAGTAGCGGCGACAGCCCCAGACGCCAAAGCCAACACTCAAGTAGTCCGTCGGGTAGTTGGGGCTCCTCAGCATCTTGTCGGCGTCCATGGCGATGACGGGGTTGATCCAGGGGCTCCACATCCACGCGCATGTTGGGGATGGCAGACTCGTTTCCCGGCCATATTGGGCAATATAACGCAGGAGACCGTTGGCGATGTTGCCTCCAGCGCTGTCTCCAGATACGACGATACGATTGGCAGGGATATTCAGAGTGTTGACAAGATAGTTGTAGGCTGTGACGGCGTCCTGGAGCTGCGCGGGGTAGCGTGCGGACGTCGGCGGACCAGCGAGACGATACTGGGGGCAGAACACCCGTTTGACGCCAGCATTCTTAAGCAGACCGTGAGCAAGATGGCCAGCGTCTTTGTCGCGACCGTCACCCAGGACGAAGGCGCCACCGTGGAAGTGCAGGACAACGTCTTCATCCTTCGGATCTGCTCCACCAGAGTAGGGAGATGGGTACCAAGTACCGCCGATTTTAGAGGGGCGGGTAGTCGGGTCGGCAAGAGGTCCTTGGTAGTAAGAGACGGCGGCCGGTTCGATGATAGTGAACCGATCTCCCTCCTTACCTGGCTTCATTGACAGAGGCACATGGACCTCGACGACGGCGGAGTGGTAGACGATAGCACGAAGAAGCTTGTGTCGGACTGCTTGATTGTAGGTCCATTGAGTAACGGGACGCATGCGTGGGACGAGGAAGACAGCCATCCACATGGGCATCCGAACGAGCTCGAGGGCCACGGCGAACAGCGTGTAGATGCCCTTTAAAGGCTGGGTCGTGAAAACTGCCATGGCTGTGGAATTCGGTGAACAGATGGATCAAGGAGACTTCAGTCGAGGGAAGCGGTGGAATATAGAGCTCTCCGTGCCGGAAGCTACGGACGTAGACTTGTTGGACATCGGGCCCGCCTGAAGCCTCGGAAGCCAAGACACTCGCAGGAAAGAGGGAGGTTTGCGAAGCCACAAGCTGACATCCGGGGAACCGAGGCTCAAGGACCTACTACAAACTTAGTGAAAGTAGTCTACGGGTAAGTATCGGGCATGAACTAGTGGATCATCTATTCTTCCAAGCTCCGTAATATGTTGGAAGACTTGTCAGCCCACGGTAGATCAACTTCAGATGGTTTTGGTCTATTGATAAGGGTTGCTGATGTATAATGTTGAGTGAATTGAGCAAGTTCGATGTTGCTTCCCTACAAGGAATTAGATGCGACTGACCCCGGATCTCCAAAGACCCCGGCATCAACACCATGCCAAATTGAGGTATCGATAAGAAACGTCGATCGTCGGCCAGGTCATTGCATGACCGCATCCCGCTTACTATATCCATCCCCACCTTTGGCCCATTCACTGATAAAGCTCTCCGTATGAATAGCCCCCTCTTCCCATATTCCCGGTGCTCGTATGCCAGCGCTCATAATGTCCCCAGACTGGCAGCAACTTGCCAAGGCGAAGCGCGACTCGATCGCAGCCCTTATACCCAAAGAATGGATACTTGAGAATGTGCCGACCCCGACGGAGCAACGCGATGTTACCGGCACCTATGTTCATCAATACCTCAGTCAGAAGGAAATTGAGATAACGGAGACGGATGCCGTGGGAATCGTCGCCAAGACGACAGCCGGAGCCTGGACAGCCGTAGACGTCGCGAGGGCTTTCTGCCACAGAGCGGCTATCGCACATCAGCTGGTAAGGGAATCAATGTCTAGTAGAACCACCATTAGTCTCCGGCTGACCCTGATAATGTCAGGTCAATTGTCTCCACGAGATCGCCTTTGACGATGCCCTAGCCACGGCCGCAGCCCTCGACGCACACTACGCCCAGCATAAGGCTCCTGTCGGCCCACTTCATGGCCTCCCGGTATCTCTGAAGGATCAGTTCCATGTCCGCGGCCTCGAGACAACAATGGGTTATGTTGGCTGGATCGGAACCTTCGAGGGCCGTCGTGACACCGGCAAGGAAAAGGTTTTCGAATCGGAAATGGTCAAGGAGCTGCGCGAGCTAGGCGCTGTGCTCTACTGCAAAACGTCTGTCCCACACACTCTCATGCATGGTGAGACGGAGAACAATATCGTTGGGTACACAATGAACCCTCGAAACCGGCTGCTGAGCTGCGGTGGAAGCAGCGGTGGCGAAGGCGCTCTCATTGCAATGAGGGGTAGCGTCCTCGGCTTTGGTACCGATATTGGTGGGAGCATTAGGATCCCGGCTGCATTCAACGGTGTATACGGTATCAGACCGAGCAGTGGAAGACTACCCTATGAAGGAATGGCGAATTCAATGGATGGTCAGAACACTATTCTGAGTGTCGTTGGCCCCTTGGCGGCGAGTGTGCCTAGCTTGACGCTGGCGGTAAAGGCACTGTTGAGCAAGCAGCCATGGCTCGGAGACCCCTTGGTACACGAGATCCCTTGGCGTTCCGATCAAGAGCAGCAAGTCTTGGACATCGTGGGCTCCGGAAAGCCTGGAAAATTGTCTTTTGGAGTCCTCCGGCATGACGGGTTGGCTGCCGTAACACCTCCTGTGAAAAGAGCCATTGAAATTACCGTTCAAACGCTGCAAAAACTGGGCCACGAAGTGAGACCTCGTTGCATACCCTGTCAAGCTCTTTGTTAACATGTCATAGGTGATCGAATGGCAGCCTCCTTCCCACAAGCGTATCTCGGATACCGCACTTGAGACATGGCTCTTCGATGGAGGCGATGACTGCATGAGCGCCTTTGAGCTATCTGGCGAACAGCCAAGGCCGAACATTACGCCCCTTTACAAGAAACGAGGTCCCAAGTATACGGCTTCCGACATTGCTCGCGTCAACGTAGCCAAGAGACAGTTGCAAAAAGAATACCTCGACTACTGGAATAGCACGGTCAGTCAGACGGGCACCGGTCGTCCCGTAGACGCAATCATTGCGCCTGCCGCTCCTTGGCCAGCCGTGAGACCTGGAATGTATTACCACATCGGCTACACAACATGCTTCAACTTGCTGGACTACACGAGCGCCGTTCTTCCCGTGACGAAAGTCGACAAGAGTATCGACAAGGTGGATGCCGGATTCAAGGCCTTGAGTGATGTGGATCAGAAATGTCAAGACGCCTGTGAGTAGTCCCTGCCTTTTCGCGATTCGACGGTATATATTGATGTGCGACAGATGATCCGGAAATATATGACGGCTCGCCAGTGGCCTTGCAACTGGTCGGCAGAAGACTGCAGGAGGAGAAAGTCCTTGCGCTTGCGGCGTATGTGGATGGCGCACTAAAGACTCAATGAATGGTCTCAGAATGTGTAAATTTCACTCCTTCTGATAGTAAATCGCCGGACGGGCCCGCTACTTGGCCTGGTCTACTGCAGCTCCATGCTCGCTTACATGATAATGTGCTTGGATCAAGCAAGATGAAGAAGAACGCAAAAGTAGCATACGGGCAAGGCCATTCCATTGGGTATCATTCGAAAAGCAGGGCAAAGCAAGATATAGCCATGAGCACCACACCATACGTCCACGGCATGGCTTACCAGACTGGGATTTTCTCCGCTCGATTTGGGGACAGAACGTGCCGGAAGTATGACAACTTTTCAGCGATCTCAAACAGACTGAACGGTCTAAGAGGGGCTTCCCTCTTATAGTATCTCTTGCTGCGCCGTTCTGAGCACTGTGCACGACAGTAGTTCTTGAATATGTTGCTGTAAAACGAGTATCTGTAGTCTTCCTCGGAGTCTAAAGTGGCGTCCGGTCAGCATCACAACCAGTCAGGTCATGTCAAAAGGTTACTTACTAGTCCGAGGTGCAGATTGGCCATAAAAATCCATGCATTCAAGCAAGGCCTCTATCTGATCAAGCGTCCATTCTGAGGGGTCCAGAGGAGGTGATGTTCTGCCAGACCGCTCTCGGCGCGCATTGAAGACATCCA